AAACTGCGGGGAACTCTGCAAAAAACGCATCTTCGCACGGGCAGCCCGTACGTTGGCCAATTATTCGCATTGCATAGCTGCAAAAAACGCATAACACTAGGATGCTAATAAACGAAAATCTGGAAAGTACTTTAAAACTCTGTGTCAGTGGTATAAATCCAGATCTCAACAATCTTTTGTCAAAAGTTCAAGCTCACAGCTCATATTAACCTGCTGTTGCTTATTATGCTTTCTGCATATATGCTAATTGCAAAAACGTATATTGGCAACAGGCTGTTTGTGTGTGTGCCTGGGTGTTCGCACTTTTTGTCGCCCGCTTCCAACTCGAGAACCAGAAAAGCTAGAAGGCTGAGATTTTGGAACTATGTACCCATACCACGCGCGACCCTCCCATTTTAATATCATCCTCCGCATACGCCTGGATGCCACGTACGGATGTCTTAAAAAAATATGCAAATTTTTGGGAGGAAAAGCGATCTCGGGAACCAGACAACGTAAGGGACTGAAAATTTGTAGGGATATTCCCTGTGCATGTGTAAGCTAAAGGTTTCAAATTCAGCCCCCAGGCATGCGTGGCTCTGCTCTCACGTACAATATTTGACGGGAAAACTGCTAACTCGCTACCCAGGAAAGTTGGAAAGCTGAGATTTTAGGGTGATGTTCCTTGTCCACGTGAAATTTAAAGATCTCAAATTCAACTTCCCAGGTACGTGGGGTACCCATATGCGTGCATGTGAAAGTTTTGGCGGGAAAATTACTAATCCGGGAACCAGAAAAACTAGAAAGCTGAAATTTTAGGGGAATGTTCCTATCTACACGAAAAAATCAGATTACAGGTAATATGTCAACAAAGTTCGTGTAACGATAATTGATACAAGTAAACACCCAGTGTTGCTCATGTAATGCTCGAGTAAAGCACACTTCCCAACGGTGCTCGCCCACTCATACAAATAATGACCGTTTCTGGGCGCAGTACTTGAACATTTGCCGTAGATTACCTCTGTTGATGAGCCACTGTCTCACAAAGTTCAAATAACATCCAGAATATTTTCGTGTAACATACCCCGATCGCTCGCGTAACCGTCGGACGGCGTGAAGCGGAACTAGAACGTCAGGTCTCGCGACAACTGCTCCTCTTGTGGTGGGATGGTTGTTTCATCGCATCCTCTGCTGTCGATGGTCGGTAGCAGAGTGCGACTTCTGGAGGGGAGAGGCGAGATTGGTTCGCAGTGATTGATTATGGTGGTTGGGGGTATT